ACCACGTTCTTGAGAAGCCCCCACTTCTGTATCTGAGACTTGGCTATAACCTTTTGAACCTCCTATCCCGCCTCCATCCCACATACCAAGGTTCGATCGCATTGCAGCACCCACCATGCCATTCCTCGGGCAGCTTCCTGCCCCATCGCTGTCCAACATCCTTGTGGCACTGTTCCCACCGACAGAGCCATCGACAGCTGGCGACGCAGCCATAGCGGAAGAAGGGTGGGCGGCATCCCCTACATCCCTTGAAACTCCGCGAGACCCCTCTTCCGCCCCCCCGGTGGCAGCAGGGTCGGGATCGCGCACCCCGTCAAGCGTGTCCATCCTTGTGGCACTGTTCCCGTCGAGCGAGCCACCACCACCACCACCACCCGTCGGCGAGAAATCCATAGGGGAAGGGTGGGACGCCTCCTCTCCATCCTTAGCGAGTGGCGCTGAAACTCTGCGAGACACATCATCCCCCCCGGCGGCAACAGCATCGGGATCTCGCTCGCCCCCATCAAGCGTGTGCATCCTTGCGCTACTGTTCCCACCGACGGAGCCACCACCGACTGCTGGCGAGAGATCCATAGGGGACGGGTGGGAGGCATCCCCTCCTCCATCCCTACTCAGCAGTGCTGCAACTCTGCGAGACACCTCTTCCCCCCCCCCCGTGCCAACGGGATCGGGATCTCGCACCCCATCAAGCGTGTCCTCCCCTGCAGATCGGGATCTGGCATCACTGATACTACTACTACTGTTACTGAGGCGTTGTGCTCCTCCATCACGTCCCCCCGAAGCCCCTGCTGCTCCTAGGTTGACCCTCCCCCCCATGCCGCCTCGCTGATGATGACGATGACGATGACCTTGTTGACCTGCTACAGCCGTCCGATCACCTCCCATCATCATCCCTTCGCGGCTATGGCAGTCATTGCGAGGAGAGTCGCTCGTCGTCGTGTTACTGAATACTCGACGGGGAAGATTGCGCAGAGTCGGCAGTAGCCAACTGCCAAATGGAAACACGGGCGTCACTGAGAAGCCATTTGCAAGAAGATGATGCGGCGCTGCGGGTGCAGAATGAGGCGGGGGGTGACAAGCAGAAGCTGGAAGGGGGAAAAACCTAGATATCGGGCGTGACGAGGATGTGGCCAGCTGTTGTGGACTTTCTCCAGAGTCAACCTCAGCAGTGAGCAGCAGAGGCGCACCATAAGGATGGAAATGAACCGCTCGCAGTGTCTTCCGTGTCCTCAAGACAATCACTGGTTGGGAGTGCTCTTCTCTCTTCTTTTTGTACTGCCACATGTACAACTTGTGTCCTGATGCTACGGCAAGAATCTCTCCGTGAGGGTGAAAGGCAAGGGAAGCAATAGGCCGACCGAAATCATGGCTGCGGAAACACTCTCCTGAACCTGTGCCAATGTCCCACAGTCTGACTTCATTATCTAGGCTCCCACTTGCGACAATTTGTGGGATCAAGGGGTGGAACCTGACCACCCATGGCGTCCGTCTATGCCCATACAGCACCTTCAAACACGCGCCCGTGCGGCAAGAGACGACTTTGACAGTATGGTCCCCGTGCGTGGAAGCGAGAGAGGACCCGTCCGGGCTGAAGGCGGCAGCGATGGTCGATCGAGGAGGAGGATCAAGATGGCAGTACTTGGCCGAAAAATTCCTGATTGAATCTGCCTCCAACCATAGCTCAAGTGCTTTGGCGCAATCAAGCAGAAGCGGAGAGCTGCCTCCTCCTCGTCCTCCTCCTCCTCCTGCTGCTGCTGCTGCTGCCGCTGCTCTTCCTCCTCCGCCTGGTGCGCAGCACTCGCTGCTGCTACGGGTAGAGGAGACGGTCCACAACTTGCGCCTTGTGCGTCTGGCATTAGGGTAAACCTCTCGCAGTGCCAGGAGTCGTGCCACATTCTCTTGCCAGTTCCATCGCTCCATGTAGCAGTACCACGACAACTGGCCTAGCCGCACCACTCACCAAATGCGCCAAGTGCGAATGAATCTCCCGCTAGAATATGGAAAGATGCACCGCCATAGTTTTTGTCCTTTTCGCATTTGATGACCTCTGCGGCGGCGCTCAAAGAAGCACTCCAGCTACGTGAAATGCAGATGCGTAATCGTCGTCCACGTGGCGACTCCCCAGGCATGACGATGCTATTCTAAGACCATTTCCCACCCCCCTCCAACCCCGATCTTCTCTCTCTCTCTCTCTCTCTCTCTCTCTCTCTCTCTCTCTCTCTCTCTCTCTCTCTCTCTCTCTCTGTGTGTGTGTGACTGTGTGTCTGTCTGCCTGTCTCTCTCTCTCGCTTGCGCGCGCGCACGGATTGCAGATGTGACCGTCGTGTAGTCGCAGGTTGTTCACGTTCCAGAGGTCCCGCAGAGTTGACCCTTGAGAGGCTCCGCAAAGAAGGGGTAATTAAAAAAAAAAGAAAAAGAAAAAGAAAGAAAGCTTGATGAGGGCTGTAGTATGGTTGAAGTCGAGGCGCCGGGTGCGGTGCCTTGATGATGACGTGGCGCGCAGTCGTAGCAAGCACGGGGTGGCAATCTCGTCGTTAGATGGGATCGATCGGATACCAGTTCAACAACCCCACACACTCACTTCTGTCTTCCCCCGAACACAACGCACCCTCATTATGCCTGTACTGAACCAGAATGACACCATGTATATGGGCAGCGTTCAGGAGACAACGGAGAGAGGGAGGAAGAGGGGGGTGGGGGGGGGAGGGGGTTGGTGAAGGACGCTCAAGGGGGAACAGCCCAAGAAATAACCGACGAGTACACCCATGTAATGTTTGAAACGCGCACCCGGGTTCGAATCCACACGCCGTCACATGCGCACCACTCTCGAAGTGTGCAAAATGAGAATGAACATCACCCTAGAACATGGCCAAATGCATCCACCACACTTTTGTCTTTTTCACATTTCGAGAGTGGTGTGGCGAGCCCCATATTCCCCGCGTAACGCTCGTAAGGAAAACGGAGCAACGGAGGAGGGGGTCCCCAAGTACGATGAACAGCCCAAGAAATAACCGACGAGCCTGCCGTCTTCCCCCGAACATAACGCACCCTGAAAATGAATGTTTACAAGCTATCTTTCCGTCCAGACACAGCCAAAATGAGGGTGCGTTGTGTTCGGGGGAAGAAGGGTAGCTCACCAGGTACTGTTGAAACGGACACCGGTGTTCAAATCCACCTTCCGTCAGATGAACATCACCCCTCCGTAGTGCCCTCGTGAGACAACGGAGCGAGGGGGTGGGGAGTAGAAGGACGATTATGGGCGAACAGGCCCAGAAATAACCGACGAGCCTACCGTAGCTCAGCAGGGGGTACACCCTCGAACTGTCGAAACGCAAGGCCCCTTCCAGTCCACATGCCAGTAACCTGGGAGACGGTGAGTTCAATGATATGATAATATTAAAAAAAAAAAGGGAAAACAAAGGGAATTTTTTTTTGTATGGTCAAAATTCGAACTCATGAGGTGTTTATGGACAGCTACATGCGTGTACCCTTCAGCCACGGAGAAAAAAAAAGAAAAAAGAAATGAGAAATTTTTGAAATGCCCCTCCATTTCCACTTCCGTTTACTTGCGGGATGCCCCTACGACGGCCCACGTACCCTTTCGTGCCCCTGGGGCCTCTGAAGTTCCCTGCAGGCCCCTGTCAGTTAGGGGTGCAACTTTTGAGCATGCCCCTGTGGCCGTTGGCGGCACTTGCCGCCTATCCCCTGGCCAGGGGGGGGGCTACCAGGACATACTGGAAATTTGGAAACGGTACTCCTAGGGGCATATTGAACATATTTCGGACCCAAACGAGGCCGAGGGTTTTTCGGAAACTCCAATCGTTGTCAGAGGGGCGCGACAGGGTAAGTCGGCCATCAAAGGGGCATACCGCACATACATGGAACTCGGAGGGGCATTTTTAAAAAAATCCCAAAAGAAATACCCATCGTCCTTTTAAGAAAAATGGAAATTTGTGAAATACCCACGAAAGTTTACGTACATGGTAAAATACCACTAAAAGATGTGGATAGAAGCATCTGAAACAACAGGCCTAGGTCCAGTTGGTACACCCATGAACAGCTGGAGCACAGACCCGAGTTCCAATCCAGGTGCAATCAGATGAACGGAACAAAATGATTCTGAATTGCCTGGGCCCAGTCAGTTCAATGACTATATCTCAAGCCCATCGCCCTTTTTCATATTTTTTAAAAAATATCCTCTGAAATTGCAAAAGGTTGTGAAATGCCCTTTTGGACTTATATCTTTGAGTTATACCCATATCAGGGGTATAGCACAGACTTGGCAACCCCCTCACCGGGGTATAACACAAAGGATCAAATCCAAAAGGGCAGGGGTATAGCACAGACTTGGTAACTCACTGACAGGGTTATAACACAAAGGTTTAAATCCAAACAGGCAGGGGTATAGCACAACCTTGGCAACCTCAGGACAGGGGTAGAATACAAGGATTTAAATCCAAAAGGGGATTTGGGGAGACTTTTGAAATTTCAGACGGGGTTTATGCTCTACCATCTTTTACGGGCATTTTGTCGTATATGTGAGCTATTAGACGTATTTTGTGAATTTTACCAAAGCCTAGCTCAGTTGGTATACCTCCTAAACTGTTGAAATATAGACCAGAGTTCAAACTCCACTCACCAGATGAGTGAAATACTACTTAGGGCCGGTCAGTTCGTGATACTGTCGCAAATTTTACCAACATGGGGGAAAGAAATAATAATAAAACAAATAACAACATAGCCCCTCAGGAGCGAGGCCCCACTAGCAGTAGGATCGAATAGAACGGCCATTGGGCGACAGGCCAGATGCCGTCCGATCTCAAATATCGTGTGATCTTCGAAATGAGCGATTTATGGATTTTCCATCTTGTATTTCTTGTATTTTACTATTCATAGAAAATGCGGAGACCTCTTCTACGATTGGTTGTCACGGCCGTATAAAGTGCAGTTTCCTCTATCCAACAGGAGTATGCTCGACCCGGTGCATCGACGGCGTCGACCACAAGCCTTGGGATCGAAGGAAAGAGACGGAAACAGATGCAGCAAGCGGACTACAATTGTGTTGACGGTTAACAAGATGCAGTTGTCAGCGGCGCAGTTCACGGATGCAGGACGTAACCATTACTGACCAGGCACTTAGTACGGATCGGGTCCTGGTCGCGTACTTGCACTTAAGGACTGCACATATCCGAGAAATTGGCACCATGCATCCCTCCTGCGCGGTACGGTTTGTATCTGGCCAGCACGTCTTAGGGCATACTCAAGTTAGACTTTTTTACATATTTTTGGATGGAATTGCCGCCAGATACATCCACTCATGGCAGTGAATGCGTTCAGATACATTTGAGATACTTGTAATGTGAGTACTCACTTAGACATGCTGTACTGCACATATCCAAGAAATTGGCACCGTGCATCTGTCTTGCGCAGTAGAAGTTGTATCTGGCCAGCACGTCTTAGGGCATTCACACTTCAACTTTTTTACATATTTTTGGATGGAATTGCGGCCAGATACATCCAGGCACGACCGTGGATGCCTTAAGATACATTTGAGATACCCCTAGTGTGAGTTCTCACTTAGACATGCTGTACTGCGCATATCCAAGAAATTGGCACCATGCATCCGTCCTGCGCAGTACGGGTTGTACCTGGTCAGCATGTCTTAAGGCATACTCAGACTACGACTTTTTTACATATTTTTGGATGGAATTGCGGCCAAATACATCCAGGCATGGCCGTGAATGCCTTCAGATACATTTGAGATACTCGTAGTGTGAGTACTGTAGGGCCTCCGGAAATCTGGACCACTACTTTCGGAATGTGCCATTTATGTGTGAAACTTCCGCTAGAACACGAAAATATACATCACCGCGATTTTTTTCCGCTAGAATATGGCGCTAGAATATGGAAATATAAATCACCACGATTTTCTACCTTAGTGCATGTGGACATTAGTAGAGGCTAGCCCGTTTTCTTTGGATGGGATTCCGTACAGAAACATCCACGCCGGGCACTACATGCGTTCAGGTGCTTCTACTGCTCAGTGACACTGCACACGTTCCCCCCAAATTTGCGTGCCTTGTCAATGTCATGGGCGGTAGTTCGAGTCCATTCGCGTCGACGGACACTCTGTGCGCTTGTCGTGTACGTCCGAATGCGGCGTCCCGGGGTCGCAGGTGCGGACAGGTACACACACTAACCAACGCCTTTGCCACTTCCTCGCAACCACACACGTCCTTCATCCTTCGGGGAGAGAGA